GCCTGCTCCAGATTCTGTGTCAGCCTCTTCCTCTGCCCCTCCCCTGACCGCCTCTCTTTCTCTCTCAAAAATAAACATTAAAAAAATGTTTTTAAGTAACTATAAAACCATTTCGTACTTAAAAAAAAGGAATGACCTTAATAAGAAACCCATTCTGTAATCAAATTTCTCCTATCAAATTTCTCGTATTGTGTTCTTATTCTCGGTTTGTTTGACTCAGAGTCACGCTGGATCCCACACAGCATTCGGTTGATTTGTCTCTAAGGCCTCTTGCAACAAATGGCAGTTACATGTCACATGCTGCCCTCTTTCCCATGCTGTTTCGTCCTGTAGAATTCCCTAGTGTGCCTTAGGCTTCTGGCACCCCCACCAAGTGATGTCATTTAGCATGCTCTTCCAGACGCTTATTTCTTGTGAACTAGGAGAAAGAGAGGGAGGAAGATGATCACTGTGGCATTTGGAGGTGGAGGACACAGCAGGGTTGTGTTTGAGGAGGTCAGTCTGAGGGCACCTGAGTGGCTGGGTCAGTTAAGCACCCAACTCTTGATTTCGGCTCACGTCATGATCTCGCGGTTAATGAGACTGAGCCCTGCATCAGGCTCCACGCTGACAGTGCAGAGCCTGCTTGGGATTCTCTCTCTCCGTCTCTGTCTTAAAAAAATAAAAATAAAAATAAAAATAAAAATAAAAATAAAAGAGAAGGTCAGTCCGGTAATGTGTGATATGAGATGCGGGGTGGATCAGGACCCATCGGTAATTAGGGTTCCTGGAACTCCTGGCCTCGGCTGCAGGGTGAGGACAGAACACACAGACACCTTGAGTGGAGAGGTCAAAGGGAAGTTCTGGTAAAGATAACCATTGCTTACATTTTTGAGGTGCTTACTACACACTGGGCTCTGTACATGTGACTTCCTGCTGTCAACATATAGATAATATTTCTTGAATTCTGCAGAACCAGAGAGGACACATGACTTAGGTACAAGGCTAGTACACAACACAGGAGGAACCTGTGCAGAACCCAAAGCCTGCATTCTTAGCTGCTGTACCAAATGGCAGAAATTAAGCCCCTGGGGATGCTATGGTACATGGTGGGGGGGGGGGGCCGGGGAGATGTGTACAGTGGGGCAGTGAGGCCAGACAAGGACTGAGGGAAGCAGGTGAGGTTTGGCAGAGATCCCAGTGAGCTGAGTGTCTCTGAATGCATGTGAGCACTGCACACATCAGCATTCCCTAAGAGCCACTTCGAAAGAAAGAAAGAAAGAAAGAAAGAAAAAGAAAGAAAGAGAAAATGCAGATTCTGGGCACCTGGGTGGCTCAGTTGGTTAAGCGTCCTACTCTTGATTTCAGCTCACGTCATGACCTCACAATTCATGGGATGGAATCCCACAGGGGGCTCCGTGCTGATGGCATGGAGCCTTCTTGGGATTCTCGCTCTCCCTCTTTCTCTGTCCCTTTACTCTCTCCCTCTCTCTTTCAAAATAAATAAACTGGATCCCACCCAAGACTGACTAGATTAGAATTCTCAGGAGTCTGACCCAGAAACGTGCATTAACAGGCACCTTGGGGGTTTTAGACCTAGCTTGAGAAACAGCAGAATAAAGAATGGCACCAGCTGTAGCAGAGGGAGAAAGAGGAGCCATGCGCTTGAGATGACCAAGTTAAGTGAACAGGAAAAAAAAAAAGACTTTTCATAGTGCCTCATACGTAGCTGCTATTTCATACATACTTCTGAATAACCAGATGGAAAGGAACTTGATATCAACAACCGACATACTGTCTCCAGCTGAGCACCTGAGTCCAGCAGCCCCCTAGAAAGACAGAGTCCTTGGACAAATAGTCCAAACACTATTTGTGAAAAGGGCTCTTTAATGGACACTCCCATCACACCTCGGAATCTCTTACTGAAGAAGCTGCCCCAACGGCCACTGGGGCCCAATCGAAGTTGACTTTCCTTCCCAGACCCCCCTCTACAGCTGAACTACTCTGTGTTTATATGGGAGAGACAAAAAAGTCTCACCTGGCAGGATCCAAGGCACCCTGGACCAGGCATGAATGAACATGAACAAAGGACTCTGTGGGGTCAGTAGCTGAGAGAGCTGTGTGCTGTTTTCTCAGTGCTGATAAGACCTTACCACCAGAGTGGAGTTGGACAAGAATATCGGAGCCAAAGACATTTCCCTCTGGAGTGTGGTCGAGGCAAAGGATGCCCAGTGAGCATTTTGAGACAAGAGAACAGAAATGAACTGAATTAAACTGGCACAGTCACGAATCTGAAGCTTTTAATACCTCTTTTACTAATTAGCATCTTCCTGTTGGTAACCATAAGTCTTTATTTTGAGCTTCCTTCCTTCCTTCCTTCCTTTCCTCCCTCCCTCTTTTCTTTCTTTCTTTCTTCTTTTTCTTTCTTTCTTTCTTTCTTTCTTTCTTTCTTTCTTTCTTTCTTCTTTCTTTCTTTCTTTCTTTCTTTCTTTCTTTCTTTCTTTCCTTTCAAAATGAAAATGAAATACCAATGAAATATTTTTTCAAAGAAGATTGCCTCCAGGAACCTGGGTGGCTCAGTCAGATATGTGTCTGGATCTTGATTTCGGCTCAGGTCATGATCTCATAGCTCATGAGTTCGAGCTCCTCACTGGGCTCTGGGCTGACAGTATGGAGCCTGCTTGGGATTCTCTCTCTCTCTCTCTCTCTCTCTGCCCCTTTCCCACTCTCTCTCTCTCTCAAAATAAATAAATTAACTAAAACAAAACAAAACAAAACAAAGAGGATTGCTTCAAACCAAAGTATCATGGCACATTACTTATGTGGTGGGGATTGATAGGGAAGGGCCCCGGAGGGTTGATAATGTTTATTGATCATGATGTCGTATATTTGATCTCCGCACTTTTCTATATTGTTGTATTTCCATTTTGCCTAAAGAGGCTGTCTCTATGATTGGCAGAGCTGGAGAAATCGGTCATAATTTGGGGTGTGTAATATCCCACTTACCCGGGAACTATAAAATCTTTTGGAAACCATTTTTGTTTCTCAAGTAAACACGATCGTGTTTATCTGTGTGGTTAGAAGGGATACACCGAGCTTCAGCCTACTCTCCTGGCAATGTCTTCTTACCACAGCCCTCCCCGTGAAAGATGCTGCTGTTTCCTGGTCCCCCAGAACATTGGCTGGAGCAGCCTGGAGGTGGCACCTGAGTGAGCTCACCTCCATCCCTTCCCCGGGGAAAGGAATCAGAAGAAGGAATCTTCTTCTCACCTATGGCAATTACTTTAAAATACTTTTTTCTGTAGGATCCTTGATTTGCCCTACCAATTCTATATTAAAACAGTAATCAAGGTTGGGTGGTTTTTTTTTTTAAATATAGGCTCATAAAAAATTAAGATTCAATATTCGCTGTGTCTTAAATGCTACCACTGTAAGAGCTGATTAAAGCAGACTTTTTTTCCCCCTTAGGATCTCGGAATTAAGAAAAAAATAAAACCACTGCTCTGCATTTTCAGCTGAAAATGGGAAGGGATGGGTGAGGGAATGAAATGTAGGTCTGTATCCAAAAGACAGAAGAAGGAAACTGTCCAGAGATGTGACTGCTGTCCCTACTGGCTGCGGTAGCTCAGTTTTGATCAGACCCTAGTTAAGAGGAGAGAATTTAAATGTTATATTAGAAGCAAATTCCCTTGGAGATTTGGAATACAGGGGCACTGAGTGGGGGGGGGGATGATTTCCACAAGAAAGGAAAGATTACAATGAACATCTTTAACGTATGTTCTAAGCCAAACAGAACACTGGCTTTTTATTTCCTTTGGTTTTCTTCCTGATAGTAAATTTCTCGTCCCTGTGCAAAAGTAACTACATCACCTTTGTTGTTGCTTTTTTCATCCTCCTTTTCCCCTAAGGGCTGTGAGCATTTCCCTGCCCGCCTTTCAGGCTCGCTCTGGCACCTTGGGAAGCCGGGACAGCACAAGGTTTTGTGATTCTCTGACACACTTCATGCTTTTTCTTTCCTCTGCCGGCCACTATCTGCCTTCTCTAGCTCAAAATTAACGTACTTCTTTCTCACTGCCTGCTGCGGAAATCCAACTGCGTTACATGGAGAGCGAATTCTATGGCGAGATAGTAGGCACTGACCAGGGAAAGGTATAAAAAGTGAGGAAGCAGGTAGAGAGGTAGTCCACGGAGGAGTTCAGAGCAGATCTTAGGTGGGAAGGGCCCCTGAAGGTAATTTCACATCATGGCCATTTTGTGAATGTAGGTGACCTGCTCGAAATCAGTTGCGACAACTTTGTTTTCGTTTTCCTTCCCCACTCAGTATTGCCTAGTATGTGTCCTCTGTGTTTGCACAGGCCTGGTACTGGGGTGGCACTTGTGGGGGTCGCTTCCGGGCCTCCCTTTAAGTCTTTCAAGCGCGCAGATTACAGGACGCATAAAGGGACCCATTTGTCCTGAGAACACCTACCACGTTCACCAGGTTCCCGGTTTCTGAAAGGCTTTTCTATCAGAGTAGTTTGGGGGGCAAAGTTTTCCTGAACTGCAGTTCTGAACCCAGACTGTGGAATCTTTCAAAATATCACAAAACATAGCACCGCCAAAGGCATCTTTAAGCGCAGCGTCGGGGAATTAAGGAAATTCCAAAGGCCACTTTATAAGCCCAGGCAGGAGCCGGGCCCTGCGCCCTGGAGGGAGAGAGAAGGGGAGGAAGGGAAGTGTTCGCGCGGAGTGAAAAGGGGAAGAGCCAGCCGTCTCCCCCATCTTTTCCCCTGGCCCGGGCGATTCTCGGTGGCCTCAGCATCGCGTCTCCCACTGGCCTGGGAGGCGCCTCTGTGGAGCGGTGGCCGGGGAGGGGGGCTCGGTGGCTCTCCGAGCGGCCGCTTGGCCCCTGGCCCGTTGGCACGGCGCCCGCCCGACAGGTCCCGCCCCGGCTGGAATGTAGGGAGCGCCCGCCAGCCTGCGCCCCTGTCCTTGTGCGCCCAGTCCTCTCGTGCGACGGCTCTCCGGTGCGCATCTCTCTCTGGCCCTCCCGCTGCAGCCATGGCCGCCTCCTCCGCGCGGCTCACTGTCCTGGCCATGACCGCGCTGGCGCTACTCCTGCTGCTGTGCCTGGGCCCAGGTATGTCGGCAGCGCCAGGGCGCCAGGGAGGGAGATGGGTGATGGGGTGAGGACCGAGGGACCGTGAGTCCCAGCAAGTGCCAATGGGTAATAGGGTTTTGCTCTGGCAGAAGTGGGAGTGGCGCGCTTCGGCAGGCGGATAGCGTACCAGGGCCAAGGGCAGGTTTCGGACAAGGGTGGTCACCTTGGGAAAGAGTGAGGGCCAAGGTCCCATGGAGGGGCAAGAAGTGATTTGACCCTAACTTAAGGGGCAGAGGGGTACTGGGAGCTTTAGGCAGTGGGGCCTTCTGGGACTGAGGGGAGCCAGAATGCATCATTATGGAGATGCCTTTCCAGGCAATTCCCTAAGGAGGGTGGGGGAGGGAGGGGGGCACGCTTGGCAACCCAGTGAAGTTCCAGGTCTGCAAAACTGCAGGCAGGCCTCACAACCCAGACAGGGAAAATGCTCTTAAAGGAGAAATGCTTAACCTTCTGTGCTTCAGGGAGCCCTCAGGGAATCAGTTGAAAATTCCAGGTTCCTTGCCTATAAAAGGAGCATGTTCATACATACCCCCCAAGATGAAGCAGTTTGGTGGATGTGCAGGCATCTGAACCTTGGGAATCCACAGACCCCACCTTAGGGTTTTGTCCTGACAATACTACCTTCCACTTGAGGATCCTTTATGTGTCACTAGGGGACCTCAAGACAGTGAGCCCTTGACACTCTCACATGTTCATGGAGGCATACAGATCCCAGATCTGCTCAGGGTACTGGGGCTGGAAGGCATGAAGTGCTGGCCCAAGACCCTGAGATGGGTGCTCTTCCCACCACAGAGTGGCCGGGCCCTGGCAATGACAATGGAAGACACCTTTGATGGCTCAGCTTCTGTGCTTTGCTTTTTCAGAATAGGTGTAGAAAACCAAACTTTGGTTTAGCGGTAAAGCCTTCGCTGCAGGAGCCCTGAGGTCATACAGAGCCCCTGGTCGCCAGAACAGCAGGGGACCTGTTCAAGTCAGGAGAACTGCTTCTAAGTTACAACCACAGGGGAGGCTCATCAATAATTTCTCATTACATGACTGATCCGCCCCGCCTCCTCTGTGCCTTCCATTTTCAGAAGCACATCTGAATAAAGCAAGTGAGCACCTGCTATAAACCTTCCCTCTTCAGACCTGTATTTTATTTCATTCATACCAAGAACGTAGTGAAAAGTGTCAGTTAAAATATTATCATCATTGAGCTGGAATGTGAAAGTTTTCATGACATAAAATGAAAATCCTCACATACGTCAAGTCCCCAAGGTGGCTCCTTATGACACCCGAAAACGTTAAATGGAGAAAATGATCATTGCTCCTTCTTGAGCAATTTATTAATAGTTAGCACCTTCAAAGGGACATCCTGCAATTCTGCATCTGCTGGGAGATCTAATGTCAGGCTGAATAAATTCAGGAGTGCCTATTATCACCATCTAGATACAGTGACTGATGATGTAGGAGTAAAAAAAAAATTCCATACTATTGGAAAAAATTCACAGCTATTCGGTTATTCTTTATTTTTTTCTTCAAACAATTTAATGTGGTGTCCAATTATATGTATTAATATTTGCAGTTCAGGGTATAGTAATTGGCACAGTAGCAACTATTAATAATTCATAATTTAGGATTTTTCCATGCCTTTCTGTTGTAGAGCTGAGGTCTGGTGAGGCTCTCATTTCTGGAACAGTAGTGACACACATTTGCTGCTAGAAATCGCAGCAGCAGGGCAGATGCCAACATCCAATGTCTATTTCAACATCAGGCCACATTTCACTCATTTTCTGTCAAGTGCTTTTACAGAAGGCAAACGGATGGAGGGGCGATACTTAATTCTGTGTGTGCCACGCTGTTGTTAGAGATGGACGAATGTTAAGATATTAATGAATGCTAATAATGGTGCCAAGAAACAGACCTGTGTGCTTTGGCAAATGTGTTCATAGATTTCTTTATTGACTGTTAAGGTTGGATGATTCTTAAGGTACAGCCTTTAAAAGTAGCCCCATTCCAATCTAATTAAATAATCCCCTCTATAGGAGCACCGTCAAGTGCTCATCTCTGCTTATTTACTCTTGATGGGGAACCTCTTGGGGGCGACTTATCCCATCTCTGGGGGGCTGCCTAGGTATTGGAAACTTTATGCCTTAATCTGTGTCCCACAGGTGTTTCTGGAAATCATTTGCTGACTCCTTTTCTCAAATCATATTCCACTATATCAGTTAACATACCATATTAAATGTACACATTATAGGGGTGCCTGGGTGGCTCAGTTGGTTAAGCGTCCGACTTCAGCTCAGGTCATGATCTCTCAGTCCGTGAGTTCAAACCCCGTGTTGGGCTCTGTGCTGATAGCTCAGAGCCCGGAGCCTGCTTCGGATTCTGTGTCTTCCTCTCTCTCTGCCCCTCCCCGGCTCATGCTCTGTCTCTCAAAAATGATAAAGAAACGTTAAAAAAAAGTTATTAAATGCACACATTGTAAACATCTGTAGCCAAATCATTTGAAGGTTTGGGAAAATTTTCACAAAGTTTGTATGTTTTTAGTGGAAGTTACCAGTAAGTCTTTATTAAGTAGTGCAACGAATTTTTTAATTTCTTTATTTATTTTGAGAGAGATAGAGGGAGCACACAGGGAGGGGCAGAGAGAAAATACCAAGCAGCCTCCCTGCTGTTAGCGCAGAGAGTGATATGGGGCTCAAACCCACGAAACGTGAGATCATGACCTGAGCCAAAATCAAGAGTCAGTCGCTTAACTGACGGAACCAGGCAGGTGCTCCTAGCAGTGCAATTAATTTTTATTTTTAATCCCTGTGCCCAATTTTGGAGTTGAGAGGATTGTTGGTGATAAATGTATGATGTAAAAAAAAAAAAATTCCCTGGTTCCTAGAGATTCTTGCCAACCACGCTCCCTGGCTGGCATACCTATTCTAAGGGCACTTGGGTAGTGCTTAAATTCAGATGCCTACAGAGGGCTAGCTGGCAGGTGAAATGGCTCTTTATGGCCATCGGGTGGGCTGAGTGACTTGGGCCCAGAGATGTTCCAATTCAAAGTTTGCAAACCCTGCGTGCACTCATAAAACGCGTCTGCAGGAAAAGCTCAGCTGTGGGCAGCCAGTTGGTCACGGATGTGTTTTCTTCCCCCCGATTACATAGTAAATACTTTAAGCAGGGGTTCTTAGTCTTATTTGGGTCCCAGACACTTTGGAGAGTCTGGTAAAAGACATCACTTCTATTCCCAGAAAACTGTACCTTCGCAGATGCAAACACGGGCCTTGGGGCCTGTCCACGGATGGGGCGGTTAAGGGCCTGCCTAGAAAGGTGGACATCACCACCTTCATCCTGGGGCCAGATCAGCTCCTTACACCTGAACATGCTATGTTCTGTTCACTACTTCTGAGGCTGGGTTTTTCTTCCAGGGGCTTTGGATATCCCTTCCAGGGACAAGCCTCGTACCTACATGTAGCACTTAAAGATCAGAGATGTCTATGGGTCCTCACACCTGCTCACCAAGCAGAGGAGGGTGTCCTACCAGACCAGTCATGTGACTTTCTGTTAAAATGTTTAGGCTGGTTAGAAATACTTTTAGAACTGAATAAACATGTCAGAAAATGGTATAGATAATGCCTAATTGGAAGAGGGTCCGGGCAACCTTACAAAACTGGGCTGGATTAAAAAAATTTTTTTGTTTAATGTTTATCTTTGAGAGAGAGAGAGAGACATAGAGTGTGAGCGGATGAGGCTCAGAGGGAGATACAGAATCTGAAGCTGGCTCCAGGCTCTGAGCTGTCAGTACAGAGCCTGGCTCGGGGCTCGAACCCATGAACCGTGAGATCATGACCTGAGCCAATGTCAGACACTTAACTGACTGAGCCACGCAGGTGCCCCTGGACTGGATGTTTAAAGAGCTGAAGTGCCTTCCTCGGCTTATGACAGTGAAACTTCATGGTGCTTGCCCGCCTTTGTCCTCACACGGCTGCCTTCTTTGTACCCCCTCCCCCTCCTCCAAAGATTCCAGCCATTGGACTTTAGGTTCCATCCATCCGACATGATATCACCTCTTTCACAGTTAACTGAGATCCTTGATTACATCTGCAAAATGCCCTATTTCCAAATAAGTAAACATTCAGTAGTTCTGGGTGGATATGAATTGGAGGGTGGGAGGCATTATTTCATTTACCATACCATGAAAAGGGAAAGTCTGCAGAAAGGTACATATGACAGACAACCGGCCCTCATAATAAGACGCAAGGAGCTTGAAAGAACGATGTCACTTCTCCTAGGGAATATCTCAAATCCTTATGCCCTGGGTCAGCCATGGTCATTGTCACCAGTTTGAGCTGTGAGTAGCCTGAATTGTTTTTCCTTCATGACAGGGAAGGCAGCAAACATCAAATACTGTGATACCTCCAAGTTGCCAAGACAAGATAGGGGCACGCGGTGCTTTATTCCAACTCAGATTTTTGCACTTGAGAATGTAAAGGGTACAGTGCAACGCTGACATGATTTCTGTTTTCATTCCATTAGGTGGCGTAAGTGGGAATAAACTCAAGCTGATGCTTCAAAAGCAGGAAGGTAAGTATACCCCCCCATGGATAATGGCTGCCTTCTTAATGGGGCACAGTGAAAGGCAATGTTGAGTGTGCTCACTGGGGTCTTGTATTTGGAAAATCAGAAGTGTTTACTCCTTAAAAGGTTGGCAGATCTGAAGGTCTTACTGTGTGTGTGCGTGTGTGTGTGTGTGTGTGTGTGTGTGTGTGTGGTATTTCATTGAATAAATATTATTGCCAGTAAATGTTTGAAAATTATTTTTCTGAAAGCTGTCGGTGTGGACTCAAAGATAAAAGAAACAGTGCTACTGTGTTAATTGAATGCTATTTATTTTAGAACCATGATACCCTGTAGAGCACGAATCTAAATTTAGAGCATATCCTTTAGAGCACATAAAACCTCCATTGGTGGAATAGACACAGAATGGTACTATTGTAGTATTCTATATGCAATCAGCCCCCGGGGGCAGGGTTGAACAGAAAAACTGTTTGTCACTAACACCTGTTGTGAAAAATACTCCTCCAAGGAATGTGATAGATGGCCCCAAAATGTTGTCGAACCACAACAGGTTGGGAGCCATACAATAGGAGTTCCAGGCCCACCATAATCAGGTAGATCAGTTGGACCAATCATGTGGTCTTACGAAGGCCATCTTCCCTTGGAACTGTCATCTTTGCCTGTAAAATGAAGAATTTGTACATCTCTTAGAAATTTAGAAGTGTGACATTTCTGATGCGAACCTTTAATCCCTTATATTCCTTCCCCGCCCCAACTCTGCCCCAGTTAACGGGAGAGTCCGGCAGGCTGAAGCCTGCTCCCTGACAATGTGGGGCTCCCTGGTGCTATTCATATGCTTCCCAGTCAGCCCCCCAGAGATCCCCTGGATGCTGAGCCCTGGGGGTTCCCTTCAGGGGCAGGGGGCTTCTGAAGGGGCTCCCAGCATCTTCCCCAGCATTTCTAGCTGCTCGTGAGGCCCTGGCCCATCCCCTATCTCTGTGCTGGGTAGCCCGCTCCTCCAGGACACCTGGGGTGACAGAAGCTCTTGAAAGGCCACCCTGTCAGAGGTGGGAGCAAGCAGACCACTAAGATAATCACGAGTCCTGATGTACATCCGCAGCTTTTATTCAAGTCAAACCTAGAAACACATATTGAGCACCTGCTGTGTACAAAAGGGTGCAACAGGCCCTGAAGGAAACGGGGATGAGCAGGAAGTGAGGAAACAAATCCACTGATACTTATCCATGTGACCAAAGAACACATAGAACACTTCACTCCCATTATCCTGTGCAGCCTTCGTAACACCACCAATATGGGGACCGTCAGCCCAGTTTTGTAGATGAGGGGACAGACAGCAGGGGAAGACCCAGTGGCAGAACTGTGTTCCCTGAGCACGTCCTGCAGAAGGGGAGCCTTCTGAACCATTGAGACCACAATGGGAAGATGTTGGGAGAAGCCACATGCTAAAGCAAGGGCCAGTACCTTTCGAGACTCGGTTGAACCATCGATGATCTGTGAGGCCCGCAGATGGTGACCCCAGGTGGCCCTGTGTGCTCCAGCTCTCCGGGGTGAGAGCATGCCATGGTGCCAGGCTGGGCCACTCCGAGCTCATTGTTCTAGTTCTTTTTCCTTCCTGGTCACCTAATCAGGCACAGCGCTCTCTTGTTTGCACGTGCAAGGAACATACACCTTTATGGCCCTAGACATCTACTTGTTTCCTAAATGCCTAAGGGGTGGGCCACCAGCCCCTGCAAGTGGCCTGGGGTCTAGGCCCGGTGAGTGGCTGCAGGGAATGGGCTGCATTTCTTCTCTCCCCTGTGCGCCTTTATGTGACTGCACCCAAATGGAGAGCTTACTACCAAGGGGTGTGGAGACAGATGACGGGCAGCTGTATTTCATCACGTGTGATGTAAGAATGCAGTTGAAAGTCAATACCATCTAATGCGGGGTGGGCTTGGGGTGTGGGATGTTCGTTAGCGATTCACCCACGCTAAGAAGAGAAATCAATCTTTGTACTTTGGGGGGGTGGGGTATTGATATTTCAGCAGCTGCTTCACCTAAGACGAAAGTGGCGGTGGACGAGAACAAGGCCAAAGAATTCTTAAACAGCCTGAAGCGCCAGAAACGGCAGCTGTGGGACCGGACTCGGCCAGAGGTTCAGCAGTGGTACCAGCAGTTCCTCTATATGGGTTTCGATGAAGCGGTGGGTATTCCCGGCCCCTGGAGGACTGGCTCCCTGCAGAGCAGCACCATGGGGACAGATGCTTGGCTTGGGCAAATGGCACAGAAAAGTAGTCTTCATAGTTCACTCCAAAAAGTAGGAGACCTCATTATCTGTCAAGTGCTACCCAGGCATTGGATAACATTACCATTGAGATGTAGGGACATCAGCTAGAATTTTCCATCACACTACGCCCAAAAGGGAGTCTCTCCCAACATGGTTGGGAAGCGGGGTTCCAGAGAAGCCACTGCCCAAAATGGCTGGGACCTAAATTCATCCAGAATCCGATTTCACTTATCTGTACAGTTTTGCCCAGGGGGTGTTTTTTTTTTTTAAATTTTTTTTTTTAACATTTATTTACTTTTGAGAGACCCAGCACAAGCAGGGGAGGGGCAGAGAGAGAGGAAGACACAGAATCTGAAGCAGGCTCCAGGCTCTGAGCTGTCAGCACAGGGCTCAAACCCATAAGCCATGAGATCGTGATCCAAACCGAAATCGGATGCTTAACCGACTGAGGCACTTAAGTGTTTTTGAGTGCCTGGGTGTTTTTAAGATAATTTATAACCTCCCCAAAACATTTGCAGCTTTACCTCCAAAAAATGTCAGAGACAACAAGATTGATGCAAAGACCCATGAGGATAATGGAAAGAGATGAAAAGTAACTTTTTATTGTATTTTTTATTTTTTAATGTTTATTTATATTTGAGAGAGAGAAAGAGAGAGAGAGCACAAGGGGGGGAGGAGCAGAGAGAGAAGGAAACAATCTGAAAGAGGCCCCGGGCTCTGAGCTGTCCATGCAGAGCCAGACAGGGGGCTCAAACTCACAAACTATGAGATCATGATCTGAGCCAAAGGTGGACACTTAACCGACTGAACCACTCAGGCACCCCAAAAGTGAGTTTTAAAAAAATGTATATTTATTTTGAGGAAGAAAGCATGAGGAGGGGAGGGGCACAGAGAAGGAGAGAGAGAAAGAATCCCTAGCAGGTTCCATGCTCAGCCCAGCTGGGGGCT